CCTATTGGGGTCCTTCTTCTTTTATACTCGGGCTTCCTTCACTGGGTGGGTTTCCTTCGTAGGTAGGAACACTCAAGTGCTCTCCCTCTCTAGGCCCAGACATAGCCCACTAATTAGTACTGTTCACTCAACCAATTAGTCTTCTATTACGGCTCCGTGACTCTCCGTAATGCTTTTCTGTCCCTTGGGGGGGGCGGTTTGTAAACTTGCAATTAATGCTGTCAGACTTCTCTTACTTTTGCACGTAACCCGTCGTGTCTTAAAGGGACATTCCCCTCGTCGTCAGCGCTGTTTAACCTTTCTCACCCTCTCTAGCGATCTTTTCTGCAGTCGAGGGATCTTGTCGTGTCAACCCAGGCGGAGTCAACCGTCGACGCCTCATGGGGTCGTCGCCCTAATCATGGACTTCATCTTCGGGCTCTACAGCTGATCTTGAGGGAAACGAAGCGTCGAGGGTTGAGTGCTCGGCGGAAAGTAAGTATAGCCACGTGTCGTGGTGCCGTTGGTCCAGGTATCCATCATATTTTCCCACACAACAATATTCAACATTTTATTCATCTGCTATAAAAGGAGGACTGTGGGTATTTCTGATCATGGCGATAGAGCTTTGCCGGCAGCCGAACGTCGACCTCTCGGTCGCTTACCAATGTCCCATCAACAACGACAACAAGAAGCTTATTGAGGAAAATCTATCTTATGACCACCGTACTCATTATATCTCTCGAGTCTCCACCGACGTTGCGAACAGCGGAAAAGAGGAATTATCAGTCAAGAATATTGATGAATATCAAGATAGCCAAGATCCAAAATTGGTCACCGAAATTGGTACTAATGGTTTGAAGCGAAAACTAGTGACGAAAGCGACACAAGCCGAGAAGAAACCTTGTGAAAGTAGTGGCAGAAACAAGGCAACCATGTTGAGCAAAATTCGCGAGGATGAAGGCTTAATGCGATCAAAGCTAGAGTCCACAAAACGACGTCTTCATGACTCGTATCAAGCGGAGGACAAGAAACGGAAGCTCATAAAGGTTCTTGATCCAAAGGACTTACCTAATCAAGTTTCTAGCAGGAATCGCCATCGCTACAAGATCCACTATTTTCTAAGGTTCGAATATGCTCATAAAATTAAGCTTTGTTACTTAGAAGTTAGGATTAATTCTTTAGAACCTTGAAACTTTTCTGATTATTATTATTATTGTGTTCTAATTAATTAGCATCCGAATAAATTACTGATCGGGTGATGTTGCATATCTTCAGGGAAGAAAACCAAGTGCCGCTTAAGTTAGCTTTGCATCAAGAAGGAAGACTTCGATTGGTGGCTGCAACAGAAATTTAGAGAACCCCAGATCATGCACTCTTTTTCCTTATTTGGGTTTTTTCCCATTGGGTTTTTTCCACCAAATAAAACGAGGCATCTTCCCATCAGGAAGATTTAGATCGGGGAATAGTGACAATGTATTATATGTGGGTCCACATTCAATAAAGTTGGCACATACACAATTTGACTTGCAACAAGAAGAGTTTGAGCAACATAATTTACTCAAATTACAACGACGTAACTGTTTCATCCAAGATGCGAATTCCTACCAAGTATTAGAAGAATTTGATAAATTCAACCAAAAATTAAAAGATTTAAAAATCCAGGTCAGGAAATAGATATGGTTGTTGTTTAATATGATGCTTTTTGGGTCCTAAAAAAGCATTGAAAGGAAACTTAAACTTATGGAATTATGCAGTTACGGTGGTCATATATATCCTGTAACCACTTACGGAATTATGCCAAGTATCTATATAATAACACTTGTTCCAATATTCCTGTTAATTAGTTAGGGAACATGATATGCGTATGTTAAATTAAAGACACAAAAATGTCGGACACTTTAATACCCAAATTTGAAGAAAACCAACTGCAGCTTAATATTACATGCATATAAAACGCTCATGTATGCTGGCCTATTTTCTCCATCATTCTTAGTACTTTCCTCATCTTGCAAAATGTTGTGTCCGACAAGAAAACCTATATATATATATATATATATATATGGGGTTAAATGAGACCTTAAGCTCATGGCCAAGCAAAATGTGTCATACTATCATCACTTATATTCCAAGCTCTCTCAGCAATTTCATCAAATAGCTGCTCCCAACCCCAACTCGAGTACCCCAAGAAAAACCAGTAGTCAGTGATAGATTGATTCCCGGACTTTAACTCTCCGATTGTGCGATATGTGGCTGATTGATCAAGATAGTAGATACCTGGTAAAACTTGAGGATACTGA